AATTACTTAGCACCAAATTAATCTGTGCCACTTCTGTATAATCTCTGGCTGACATTTACTGTTATGAAGTTCCTTATCCATCCCATCCTATTACCTCAGAAGCTAAATATACCTTTATTTTCGTCTGCGTTTTGCCACGGGTTTTCTTTCAACCGTCGAAGTCTCCTCAGCAACTCCTCTTCCGTACTTTCTCCTGGGTTGCCCAACAAATCGTTATCTCTCATAAGCTTGTAATCTTCTTCGCTCAGGTTATTTATAAATCGATAGAACTCTTCTTCGCGAACCAATCGATCCATTTGGCTTCTGCGCCGTGCCGCGGATTCATCTGCTTCGTCGCCGGAATCGGAGTTTTCCATCTTGTTGAACTGCGGCAAATTGTCCGACTTTTACGACATGGTGTCGTAACACAGATAACCCGACTTTAGTCTTCACTTTCTGCTTCAGTTGGAGCGGCGGGGCCGGGACTTAGGCAGTTCCGCCCACACATAGGTTTCTCCGTCTTCTCCTGTCGCAATTCTGCGGCTTCTGGTGAGTGAGGGGCTGAGACCCGCCTTTAACCCAAGTGACTGCTAGTTCTTGTTGCCTAGGCATCTAATACGTTTCTCATTGTTACGAAATAGGAACTGGGTTCAGGTTAGGTTTCATTTTTTTCCAGTCTGGCAAGCACTGACAAGGGCTGATTGTGTACCAAGCACAGTATTTCATCTCCTTTAACCCACATGAGCCTATTCTCAGGCTTTCAGGAGGCTTTTTCAGGCTTTGATATGCCCTAGTTGTTTGTATGTTAAATCAAAGCACCCAAATACAGCTATATATATATATATATATAGAGAGAGAGAGAGAGAGAGAGAGAGAGAGAGAGAGAGCGCGCGCGCGCGCGCGCGAGCTGTCTTCCCCTCTTCAAGAGAGATAGAGAGAGAGAGAGCGCGCGCGCGCGCGAGCGAGCTGTCTTTCCTCCTCATCATTCCTTAAATCAGACACTAAGAAAGCCCACAACTTTTGATAATTCACCACAGCCATAGCCGAATATGTTTAATTGGGTCTTTTCCCTTTTTACTCTTAATGACTTCATCTTGTATTATACAATCCCTCAAGCTTCTGTTAAAAAATAAATAAATAAAAATTTGGCAGGTTCTCTGCCACCTAGAGAATCCCTTAAGGAATTTTTCACAAATGCATCCAGTTTCATTTTTGTTCTCCTTTCTCATAGGTATTATAAATTATATTACTTAAAACTAGCCAGAATATCACTTTTAAAACAGATCCATAATAGTTATTTTGCCTCCTGTAATGAGTGCTGACTTTGCTGATTCTGTTCCATGTATGTTAGTGCAGCCAGGATGTCTAGGTAAAACTAATGCTCATTTGCAATCCTATCTGAAGGAGATCTCTAAGAGTTTCTGGATTCATTATCAATATTACCAGTCCCACTTCACGCTTGCTTTGGAATCCTTCATTCAACTTGTTCATGTAAAGATAAGATTTGGCTACCAAATTTGAGACATTATTCAATTTGACTTGTTTAATAATTAATCCATCCAACACAAACTGAGTCGGTTACTTCCCTAGCCACTAGAGATATGTTAAATATTGTTAAATATTGTAGCAGTCTGTACTCTCAAGTAAGTCACACTCCAGATGAGGGAAACTTTGCATAGAAACTATCAAAATACAATATATTTTATTATGTGCTATAATATATTTACATATGTAGTATTGTGTAAGTACAGAGAACTGTGTGATGATTAATGGGAGTTGGAAAATGTTTCACAGTGATATAACATTGAAATCTGAACCTTAAAATATGAGTTTCTACAGATGAAAAATGGCAATTGAGTATGTTGGTGAAGAGAGACTACGTCAGACAGAAGGAATAGACTTGAAAGACCTTGGCTGCTTTGGGCGACTGTGGCCACAGTTCGGGGGTTGGAGTGGAAATGTGAGATTAATCCCAGAAGAAATAATTGACACAGAGTATAAATTGAGTTTTGTTTTTCTTTTTCCTGTAAGAAATAGGACACCAATTAAGATGTTTTGTTTTGTTTTTGAGAACAAGCAGTAGATTTTGTTTTCGCCTGCTTAGCATCCACTTAACATACTTATAATAATAACATCCTGGTTTTCCTGGGGAAAAAAGAAACCATTCTCCAATCTCAATACAGTTGGTTTAGGTTTAACTGAATTCACAGCCATGGCTATAGGAAAGGACACATGATGCAGCTATGTCTAATTAGCATATCTCAAATTGCTGGTTATGGTAATTGTTTTAAGCATGGGCATGTGACCAAAAGCACATTTAAGAGTTAAATCTGAGATCTTAGTTAGAACTACTGAAAATGAGAAATTATTTTCTACTCTGTTTGCTAAGCTGGTAGGATGTAAACTTAAAAATGCTTGTGGCTATCTTGTGTAACTGAGAATGAAGAAAATCAGCATAAAGAGACAGAGGAAAATAAAGAGGGAGAAAGAGCCAGATACCTGAGAAAAAAATTGAGAAATATGTGAAGCTAGATGTCTTAGGATTTTGAGATCTGTAAACTAGTGTGTTTCACTTTCTTTATGTAAGCTTTTGAAGGATTTCTGTCACTTAAGATTGGGAGGGTCCTAATGATTGCTATAGGAGAGTGATATCAGTAATCAATGTCAAAAAGTAATTTTTAATACATTTGCCATGTAAGACTTATTTGCTATTGTCCAGTCTATAAAGTTAACATGTTTATATAATTTACGTTTCATTGGGTTTAGTCTTTATGAAAAAAATGAGAAAAGATTTTTTTTCTGACATTTCTTTAATAAATATTAGATACTGAAATTGCATATAATTAAGTTGAAATAATCATTTTAATTCGATTATGAATTAAATGTGGTTATGGCACATAATGCTAATTAGATAAATTTCCTACTTCTCTGTACCATGAGGTCTTTTCAAAATGTACCTATTTTTGCATGTATTAATGTATATTATAAACTATATTCTGATACCTTGACCCAATAAGTCATATAATTCTGATGAAGAGAAAATACCCTGAAGTAAACTATCACTAAACATTTGGTTTCTGTTAAGAAACAAAATGGTCCTGGTGGGAACTAAAACGTATTTCACTGATACCTTTATAAAAAGTAAGATAATGTGACCAGTTGTGATGTGACCACTGGTGAGATTTTTAGGATGCTTAAGTTTAGCAAAGTTTTAATTAGTGTGAGTAGGTATGTACTTGTGTGTGCACAAGTGCATATGTTTGGTGTGTTTAAAAAGTTTAAACAGATGTTTGGTTAGGTTAGGTTAGGTTAAACAGATGTTTAAAAAGTTTAAACAGTTGTTTAGTTAGGTTAACCATTAGCTTTAGTGTAGTTTCTAGATACTAATAATAGGTCTATTTCATCTAAGTTTTAAAATTTCCTCTGCAATGTGAATGTACATACATTACAGTTATTGTCTACTTTAAAGGTTTGTTTTTGATATTTTTCCCAAAACGTCACAATTGATGCTCCCAATCATTTCAATTCATTGTATTAAAGGCAATCTACTGAGGCAATTTAGAGATCCAGGTTGAAGTCTAATCTAATTAATCCATTATTTGCCCAATTCTTTAATCTCTGTAGACTCCAATTTCTTAAACTCTCATATGAGAAAGCTCATTCTCTTTTTTAAAGTTTTAGTCAGTTGCTCAAAGAGCACTAGGCAGTGGAAATTGAAATTAATGCCTGAATCAGAGTGCTGGATTGGCAACCATGAAGTAAAGAGGAAAGGTTGAGTGGGGCTAGAGTTAGTACCAGCAATGCTGAGCTAAAAGAGAAGCAAGGGAATCAGAGCAGGTCCATATTCTAAAGTCAGGTTAGGGATAATTGTCTCCCAGAACATTAATTCAAAGTCAGAAAGCTGAAATGGAGTATTAAGTCATTGAAGGCAATTTAAGAAGATTCAGAGCAGAGCCAAGGTAAGGTCATGACCAGCTTGGGGATCAAAGCCATGAGGTAGTAGCAGATGTATGTGACTTTGATTTTAGCTTGCTAAATTAAAATATTCACACCTTGGATCTCTGAAGTTTGGTACTCAGTTATTTTGATATTTTTATTTATGAGACATTTGAGATGAATGACTTCAATATCTTTTCACAATTTTATTAATGAGATTATAAGCACAACAAATTTTAACTTTTAATGTTTTAAAACACCAGGAAAAACATTTTAATTAACTTTCAGAAAGTGGTTATAGCATAGTATATGCAAAAGCAAAATGATATAGCATGTTATTGGCACTGACAAAGTAACTGATCATTTGCTTAACATTTTCCATAGTTAAGTTTCCATAGATGAAGATGATCAGATTTACTACTTTGAAGGTGAGAGGAAAAAATAAAGGTGTGTTTATCATTTGCTAGATATGCTTACTATATGCTCTGTTATATATATGCAAGGCCTGGATTACTGAAAGTGCAATTGTCAGACTTTTTAATAAACTGGACAGAGCCATTTGTTTCTGCGCAGCATATCACCTTTACATAAGAGCAATCAGGAGAAAACATGAAATAGTCAAGCATTCTGCCATACAAAACAGCTAACAAACATTACTCAACTGCTATACAACTATGTCTAGTACACAAAAATGCATAAGAAGTTAGAACAATGTTTGATAAGTATTCCTTTAACAAATACATTCTTTTCACTTGAAATGGTTTTATACAAATCCAGGTCCATATTACAACTTGAGTAGGTCTTTAGTTTTACAAGAATGATGGCAATGATTAGTCAATCACTAGATAGTTTTTGACTACTCAAGAAAAAACTGCTCACATTTTCTTAAATCAGGTCACAAATTAGATGAACTGTTTACTTTCAAACAAAAAGCAATATATAAAGAAAAGTGAAATTTTACCTCAAATAGCCTAAGCAATGATAACTTTCATAAGATGTTTGAATAACAGCAGCAAAATACCATATAAAACGAAGTTTACCACTTGAGGCAAAACTTAAAACAAGTACAAAAACATGTTAATAACCTTTTCAAGAGCTAGAGCTGGCGGTTCGTTCCCAGGACTCTTCAAGTTGCTTCCCTCATCTCTCTCCAGTCCTCAGGCTGCTTGCTAATGACTCTTTATCCTACTAGGACATCACTCCTTCCTTTTTAGGAGACGTGGAGAGATCCTTGGATTGTGAGCTGGACTTTTCTTCTGATGGAACACTTCTGGATGTAGACCTGGACTTGGTTAGTGAGGAAGATGTGGACACCGAGGAAGACTTGAATCGACTGGTAGAGCTGGATTCGGAGGTTGATGGAGATCGACCATGAAAGCGAGATGCAGACTTCATGTGGCTGCAGCGAGGAGGAGACTTCTTGCTGAAGCGAGATCTGCCC